AGTATTAGTATATATATACTAATAAATATATTTGTTTTCTTTTTCTTTTTTTATTTTTTTCTTTCTTTTTTTTCTTTTTTTTTTTTTGGGTAAGTGGTATCGGCAAAGTGGACATTTCTTCTATTGGTATCAGCAAATGGACAGTACACTCTTGTGATTGAATTATTTGAGATAGTTGTGTGATCGATGACTGCGTACGTATGATCTTATGTGTGTTGCCTTTTATTTATTTATTTTTTCCTCCCCTCTTCTACCCTACACACACGTACATATATATATATATATACACGCATACATACATGTATACACGCATCCACATTTACCTTCCTACCTATTCAGTGGATCTGTGTGTGCGTGGTCAAATAACGGAATACAGTGTGAACATTTTTGCAAGAGGCCTTTCGAGTGAATGAGTGAATGTCGCGTGAGGAACAAATGTATATACGTGTGTCTTGTGCCTATAGTTATAAAATTTATTTATAAACGAGTACATATATATATGTATATACGTATATATATGTAAATATATCCCATACATCTATATGTACGTGTGTATGTATGTATATATATACGTATATCATTATCATTATCACGGCGGGATTCTCTGTGCATGTCTTTTACACACTGTTTTCTCTATCCTCTTACAAATACCTTTATGCCACATCTTACGTCATCTACGTAACTGCCGATCTTAATCTTACATTCTCACGCGTCTCTCTTTACGCTATTTGTCTTTAACATGTGTATCGCCAGTTTTACACGAGTATATAAACGAAAATATTAGCAACAAAATACGGATATAATAACGCGTGCTGCGTTTTCTTACGTAAGTGATCGAACACGAACGTCATACCGGTTCGGTAGCAAAACGAGTTACATAACACGGTCGTTTTCGATGGTATAATCGTGATTATTCTTAAGGCGATTTTCGTCGCGTGTGATTGTCTCAAGAGAAACAGGTTGCGTTATACGTGACATCGATGGTCAGAGAATGTAAGGATTTTGTTGCTAACGTGATTGTTCGTTTAACCTTTCTTTTTTTCTTCTTTTTTTTTCTTTTTTTTTTTTTTTTTTTTTTCTTTTTTTTTTTTTTTTTTTTTTTTTGTAGAACTATTGACGCTCTTGCAGACACATCGTCGTCATCGTCGTCGTCGTCGTCATCGTCGTCGTCGTCGTCGTTGTCTTTTTTGTCATCTTTGTTCCTGACATCGTTGTCGTTTTAATATTTGGTTTTACTTTAATTCATTGGGTAAAATGGTAAGGGTCATAGACAATATTTTTAGAAAAGAGTTTGAGTCTCTGTTTTAATCTCCACGATATTTCGCGTGTGTATATCAATTTGTACAAACGTATAAACATCGATGAAAGAAAATAGTAGCGAAACTTTTTTTTCTTGACAACAATTCGAAATCATTTTTATTTTCGAATATACCAGTTTCGAGAAATATTGCATTTATAAGCAATTCTTTTCCAACCAGGACTCTTCCGCTTGCGTTATTCTTTTAAACGAACCTCTTCTTTTACTTTTCATATCCTTTACTCTAGAATTTTTACTTTAGAATTCTTTTTTTTTTTATTATTTTCATATTTCTTATTCTTTGTTCCCTTTTTTCTTTTTTTTTACTCTTTTCAATATTTTCTTTTTTCTCGATGTTGGTTTGTTCTCTTCGGTTGTGTGACAACGTGTTATGCCTAGCTTTGCGTTTTGAATTGTTATTCTTGATAATGATGAAATCGTAGGTGTGCGTTTTTCATTTATTTACTTATTTTTTTTTCTTTTTTGTTTCTATGACATGAATATTTATATATTTAGTTACAAGTAGGCATTTATAGACGTGTTATATTTTATATATATATATATACATTTATATATATATATATATATACATATTATACGAGTGTGGTGTTTTGTAATATCATCGTAATATTGATTGGAGAACGTTAATTGAGAGAATCCCCTCTTTTCTGCAACCTTTTTTTGTACTTGATCGTAGAGTATGACTACATGAAGGTATATACTACAGATTATATATATATATATATATATATTTTCTATATACATATATATCTTATCATGAGTCTAGTAGAGATTGTCGGTAATCATTAATTAGTCGTCTAAGCAAATCTAATTGAAACGGGATCTTGTAATTCCAGGAACATCAGGAACTTGCAAAAAAGAGAAGGATATAAATAAAGAAAGTCAGTCGAAGCTAGAACACTCTAACCTCGGTACCGAGTGTTGTAAGCTTTGCGGCAAGAGCGTAGCGAACATAAAAAAACACATGAAATCGCATTTCCCCGATAAATATCAATGCCAAATATGCATGATATCATTAACGAGATCCGACAATCTGAAAAGGCATATTAAATTGAAGCATGGGATACGAGAGGGATCATTGATATCGCCGTTCATGCGTTTAGAGCACAAGCACTTTTTAGCGAAATCGGAACCGGCTTACCTAACCTAGAATTTTATACGTGCGCGCGCGAAATACGAACGGCGGAGAGTGATTACACGAGGCACGTGCGCATGCGTGCGCCCATATCGCGTGTTCGGCTGTATATTTATAATACACACGCATGCGCGTTAGAACATCTAACAAATATAAACGCGCGATATATGAACATCGGACAAAGAAAGCTGAGAAAATCGAGATACAACGTCGCGTAAAGTAATCGCGTCGCTCACGCGCGTGTTCCTTCAAATAAAACCGCTCTTCGTCGATTCATTTTCTTGTAATCTCGGCAATCAATTTTACTTTTTTTCTAATCACCGAGCGAATTATTGCGAGATATATCGCTCGTTTATTATTTAATTATCGTGTTTGAAATTTATCCCCGTAAGAAAATTCAATTATTTATTGTCGTCTAATAATTTAATATTTAAGAGTTCTATACTATTACTAAGGAAAGTAATAAGCGTATTATGGATGCGATCGTTCTTAAAAGAAACGATCTAGTATATTTTAATATTTTTTATATATATATATATTTTTTTTTAATACCAGTGTTCGTAAAATCGGACGAGCTCTAGATCTCAGAGTCAATTTCGAGTACAAAGAGTGGAAAAAAAAAAAAACTTATACGAAAGTGTCTCTTTTGAATCGTGTTCGTAGATACTACCTCCCACGTGTGTCTCGTGTCCCGCGTGTACACGCGATTCTTTTTTTTTTTCTTTTAAATTCTTTCCTTCCTCGAGCAAGTAAAAGAATTCCATATCTTCGAATTTTCCTTCCCTGTCAAAAAATTACCGCTCTCACTGCTCTTTTCACTTGTGCACGCGACATATGGAATTGTTGAGTTTTTAACCGTACTGTTCATATTCTTGTTCATACTGAATTTCTCCAGCAAAGAGGAAACCTTCGAGATATTAGTCTTCGATTAGATAAAAGCGATACGTTCGGCCGACAAAATGTTGCGTGGTCGACGTTGTTACCATCGATAAAAAGGATGATTTCCTCGAATTAACACACATCTCGGTCGAACGAATATCAATTTGTATCTACGGGTGTATCTTGTCCAGTTCCATATCCGTTTGTGTGCTATGTTGTACCGCGTAACTTTATATCTCGTAATGAAAGACTTGTTCCGCAGGACTGGAGGGAGGAAGATCAGTATTAAGTAACTATTTATATACCTATTTATAGATCTTATATTATATTATATTTATATTTATATACATACATACGTAGGTTGTGAAAGATGTCGAAGACTGAGTATATGAAACAAAAAAAGAAAAAAAAAAAAAAAAAAAGAAAAAGAAAAGAAAAAAAAAAGAGAGAGAGAAAAAGAAATAATAATAATAAAAGAAACGCCTAATTCTCAGTGAGCCGGCGTGGCTCGTAATATAAAATAGTCATGATGAACTAGTCTCTGAGGCCCGAAGGCTCGTTGCAAAGAACGACAGACTTTTTTTAATAGAAATTTTTTTATGGTGCCTTTCCATTTTAAAGTACAATACTCGACTAATCAATATAATCGATATAACGGATATATATATATATATATCGATTATATATATATATATATATATACACACACATACACCATATAAATATATATAATATAATAGACAATGATTATATATCACCGTGTGTAATATGTAACGTGCGACCGGTTTCTTTTATCGACACTGCATGACACCTAATAAATCGAGCATCGATTTTTCTTCCTGGTGTTCGCGTGCCACGCACGAATACGAATATACAGAGAGTGGATCTAACGCACACGAGTTACGTATACATACATATACATATACGTGCAAAATAATACGTACTTTTACAGATACTGTGCCGCTACCTAGTGTGTTGTAATCCTTCTTCCCTCACTAGAGTGAATCTGATCGAAGTTGGGGAGGGGAAAAAAGAAGGGGGGGGAGGAGGAGGGGATAGGGGATAGGGGTGTAAACTCAGGAAGAGTGGTGAAGCGGTGTCTCTCTCTCTCTCTCTCTCTCTCTCTCTCCTCCTCTCTC